CCTGAGTTAACTTGCATCTATCTGGGTCCATCAGGGCCCCCTACTTCACCTGGCCCTCCTACCCTGAACCTAGGGGTGGATCTGTCCCTACCCAGGAATGTGGGCCCACCCAGGTTCCAAGCAGGAACCAAAGCCAGGGTGGGTGGGCCAATCAGGGTGGGTGGGCTGGCTGTGGGGGTGAAGGCCCCTGTTCTTTCCTGGTGCCCTTCCCACTTCTAGGAGGCTACTCTGCCAGGGTATGACACAAACCTGTCCTCACCCTGCTGGCAGCTCCGGACTCAAAGCTCCATCCAAGCTCCAGAGAGCAAACTAAAGACATGCCAGGAGGGAAGATCATCCAAGCCTTGATTCTATGGGAAGCAGGCTTGTGTGGTATCCCCTCACAACCAGTGTCAGCGAGAGATCCCACAGAGAAGGGTGAGTCCAGAGCAGAAGCTGAGCACCTAGGAGTTATCTCCTTAGCCTATTAGACTCCAAAGGGGCCTCTCTTTCTCACAACACACCACCACAGGCTCCTGACTGCTCCTACTGCTCAATCCTGCCAGTTTCCCTTGGCCTGAGGCCCTCCAGACTACTCCCTGGGCTCTTTGGGGCCCTCACTCACCTAGGCCAAGCCCCACCTGGGGGAATTTACCCCTACTGTTCCCTCTGCCTTTGGATGCTCTTCCCTCTAGACCTGGGTGTCCCTCGTGCTTCTGTCTGCTGTCTGCCCAGTGCCATCCCTAGATGCTGTCTTGACCACCTTGTTTGACTTGGGGGAAATAAACCGACATACATCCTTGCTAACTAATATGCACAGACAGGAACATATTGTGAGGAAAGGGACTCTTCCAGGTCCCTGCTAGGGCCCATCATCTACTTGACAGGCACAGCAGAGATGAAGAATGAAGGGATGTAGGTGTCCCTGCCACACCCTGTGCCCAGGCTGCCCACCCCCCAGTTGTACAGCCTGGCCACATGGAACAGTTCTGGGGACCAGTATGGGGGTGAGCCAGGTCCCAAAAGCCCCTAAAACTGGTCCTCAGGTTCTAGCAAGTCCTAGATAGGCAGGTCCCTTGAGAAGAATGTGTGGGTGGGGCCATGGGGAGGTTGGTGAGGAGTCATAGGGCTTGCTCCTCTTAGCTGCCCTCAGCCTTTGCTGCATGCAATATTATGGGGAGGGGTCACTAGCCTCAGCCCACACCCACACACACCCCAGCTGCTTCCTTTTTCTATGTCGTGTCTGTGCGTGAGCCTGTGAACTGAAGGGCATGGAAAACCACCAGCACACAGGGTGGGATGGGGGGCCCAGACTGCCTCTGCCCCCAGGCCCCACACTGGGGTCAGGGGTGGGGTCAGAGGCTCCGGTTTGCCCTTTCTCCTGGGGTTGAGCATGATCACATCAAGTTGGAGACAAAAGGCCCTTCTTCTCCGGAGAAGCTGAAGTGCAGCGGAGGAGGGAGCATTCCCGAGGACCTCGGGTGGGGGCGGGGTGGTGCCTGGCCAGCCAGTGTCCCTGGGGCATGAGGGAGGGCCCTGCCCAGAACCCTTCTACCTGTCTGTAGGATGGCGGAGGGGACCAGTTGGCTGGGCCTGGGGAAGAGGAGACCTTGCTATGACCTGTCTGGATCTGCCCCTCCTGTCCCACCACTTTGTCTCTGTCTCTGCCTCTCTTACCCTTAGGACTGGCTCCTTTCAAGAGGAAGCTTCCGGACCATTTTATTTATGCTTCCTCTGGCGTCTGCCTCTTGCCTAGCCTGCTCTTGACTGCTACACCCTTGGCTGACCCCACTCAATCCCTGGGGACCCTCTGCCTACCCAGATCTCCCCTCTGGGGTTGGGGACAGCAGCAGGGAGCAAAGGTTGGAGCTGTTAAAGGAAGGTCCAGGGGGCATGAGGCCAGAGTACAGCAGAGCAGCAGCAGTGCCTGTGCCCGTGGGCATCGCATCCTAGCAGCTGTCCTGAGGCTGGGCCTCTTGGGTCCTTTATGCCTCTGATGGCGCAGCTAGAGGGAGGAGAGTGGCTGCTTCCTTGAGGGCCTGAGACTCGGCCAACAAGACCCACTCAATTTTTCCAGAAGGTACAGAAACTTCCCAGTGTGACTGTGGGCCCGCCTGGGCTCAGCTAGGTTCCCCGGCTCTCCTAAGGCCAGCAGGAGTAGGGTGAGAGACAATAACAGGGAGGCGGGGGATACTGCCTGAGAGCCAGCAGCCTCCCCACAGGACAGACCACCACTGCCCAGCTCACTGCCCCAGCAGGTCCACAGTGGGCACTCGGTGAGACAGGTTTGCATGACACTCCAGCTGTGCCGAATCGACCATGGCTTTCATCTCACCCCCATGGCCCCTCTGGCCAGGCATCTCTAAGCTGCACACCCCTGGATCCGGGGTCTAAGCCCCACTGCTCCCCCCACGGGGCCCAGGCGGGAAACACCAGCAGTTTCTGGTCCCAGCCGAGGCCTGAGGTCTGTGGAGCTGAGCCAGCACCATTACTGCCAAGATTCCCGGCAAGGGGGTGGGGGGACGGCGACGACACTGTTCTCGTTTGTTCCTGCCGCCAGCTCTTCCACTCCGCCGCCAGGCGCTTCCTTTTTTAGGCAAAGTCGGAGCTCGCGCCTCCCTATGCCCCCACCGAGCCTCACCTGCCAGGAAGGGAGGAAGGAAAACCATTGCGTCCCATCCGTCTTCCCACAGAGCATCCTCCAGGGGGAATGGGAAGGGAGGAGACGTCCGGCAGAGATGACCCCACCCCCTCGCCCTGGGGGCAAGTGTGGCCTGGCCCCTATTTCTGTGGAAAGTAGTTAGGAGAGGGCAATGCTTACCCCACCAGAAGGTATTTGAGGAATGAGGCGGGCAGGATCCCGCCCAGGAAATACTGCCTCACCTAAGATCGGGGATCTGCCCTGGGGGGCCCAGGGTCCTCAGGACACCCCTGCAGCCAGTCACCTCTGGTCACTCTGGGCCTAACTAAAATCCCGAGACCTGTGGGCTCAGGCTTCACAGTGGCTTCCTTTTGATGGTCCTCTCCAAGGGTGATTGGGGTCTGCCTGAGGCCTGGGCTTGACATCACATGCCCATCAAATCTCAATGTATCGTTCAGTGTATCTGGCTGTCTGCAGCTCCAGGTCTCTTCTCTAGGAAGCTGGGTGGATGGGGGCTTTGCTTTGAGGGTTCGCATTCCATAAGAAGCACCCCTCAAGTTTCACAGGCTGCTGTCCCCTCCCAAAGGCTCTGTCCTTTCTAGATGTGGCCTGAGATCCTTCCAATCCCTGTTGATCAGTCTTTGGGGACACATGTTTCAACCCCCAGACAAGCACCCCTTGCCGGGCTCTGGGCCTGGTCTGAAGGAACATTGATTCTGGTGTCACCCCTCTTGGCACACCTAGTCAGGCACGGAGATCAATAGGTTGGACTTCTCTTTGGCCTAACTTCAAGTACCCCTGCTTTTCGCAGTCACGGGCAGGGTTCCTGGTAACCTTGGTAACTCCCTGCTGTATACCTGGCTGGGAGGTGGGGGTAGACCTCAGACCCCCACAGCCTCACACCTGGAGAAGAAAGTATGTGTGCCAGTGAACGCGTCATGATCGGATCTCTCTAGTGCGGTGTCTGAATCCTACGGTCTGTGCACGTTCGGACGAGTGAGTTTGCCGAGAGGCGGGGGCGGGGCCTAACCGTGGGGCGGGCCTCGTGGGAGGGGCCTCAATCTGCAGGCCGTGCAGTGGCGCGCCCTGCAGCCCAGGAACAAGCAAACGGCACCCTTCCTTGCGCCTGGTCCTTGTGGCGCGATGCTCGTCTGGACGGCGCTCGGTCTGACCCTGAGTTTGCGGCTGGCGTTGGCGCTGACGCGGAATGGCGCAGAGCGTGGTGAGTGAAGCCGAGTGGGCGCCTGAGCCTGACTCCAGGCTCCCGCTCCGCTCCCCACGGCGCGTGCCTGGCGGTGGCTGTCCTCCCGCGGTCGGGGGCGGAGGGTAGTCAGGCTAAGCAGCCCCACCCACCTAAGACTGGCGGACCTAGGTGCTCCGGGCTGGCTAGAAGTCGTGAGCGCTGGGACGTAGAGTGCGCCGTCTGCCGTGACCAGGCATCTCCGTGGCATCGTGGGGCCTGGTCAGGGAGGGGAGAGGTGTCCTCTTCCTTAGTTTCCCTACCTTTGGTTGTTGTTGTTAAGTGCCGTGGAATGGATTTCGACTCACAGCAACCCTGTTGTATAGGATTTCTGAGGAGCTGCTGGTGGTTTTGAACCCCCGGCTCTCCAGTTCAAACCAATTTTGCGGTCCAGTGCTTATCCACAGAGCTACACCAAGACTCCAGAGGGATGGTAGATGTATTGAAGTCGCCTCATCAAATTGGGGATCTGGACCAGAACGGAAGCGTCCCAAACCCACGCCCTCTGGTGGCACAGTGAGGGGGGGAACTGTCCACCTGATGTACTGGAAGGGATAGTGAGGAATGGGAGGCACCAGAGGGGGGGCCCTCAGAGGCTGCCGCAGGTGTCTTGCTTCCCGGGTCCAGATGGAGCAGAAGATGGGGGCCTGGGGAGAGGTGACATCATCTGTAAATGCAGTCACTGAACTCAGCCTGGGTTGCCTGGCCAGGGAGGGGAAGAGGGCTTCATCCAGTGTTGTGTCCTCCTCCCCTGCTGCTGTGCGCACCTCCTAGGTGGGATGCGCCCTGAGGGGCAAGAGACAGCCTTGGAGGGCAGCAAAGATGTTAAGAGCAGTTCCCCAGGGCTCGTGGGTCAGTTGGGGAGGAGAGGGTGTGGGCCTCTCCGTGTACAGATGGGACCGAGCCCAGATAATATCTCTACTGATGCTGTCCCGGTGACACAGAACTCACTGAAGGACTTGAGCCTCCTGCTTGGCTCAGAACCTTTCTTCTCATAGGCTCTTGGGGGATGGAACAGAACAGGCTCCCGGAACAGCTGGGATTGGGTGGCATAGGGCAAGTTCAGGTCCTAGGGGCACACCGCCTGAGGGAGCCTGTGGCCCAGGGCTGAACCCTCCCTTCTCCTCCAGGCCCCTCAGCATCGGCCCCCCAGGGGGACCTGCTATTCCTGCTGGACAGTTCAGCCAGTGTGTCTCACTACGAGTTCTCCAGGGTTCGGGAGTTCCTAGGGCAGCTGGCAGCTCCTCTGCCCCTGGGCCCTGGAGCCCTGCATGCCAGTCTGGTGCACGTGGGCAGCCGGCCGTACACTGAGTTCCCCTTTGGCCAGCACGGCTCGGGTGCGGTAGTCCAGGATGCCATCCGGGCTGCAGCCCAGCGCATGGGCGACACTAACACTGGTTTGGCACTGGCCTACGTCAAGGAGCAACTGTTTGATACAGCAGCTGGTGCCCGGTCGGGGGTGCCCAAAGTGCTGGTGTGGGTGACAGATGGTGGTTCCAGCGACCCCGTGGGGCCTCCCATGCAAGAGCTCAAGGACTTGGGTGTCACCATCTTCATCATCAGCACTGGCCGAGGAAACCGTCTGGAGCTGTCGGCAGCTGCCTCGGCTCCTCCTGAGAAGCACCTGCATTTTGTGGACGTGGATGACTTACACATCATTGCCCAGGAGTTGCGGGGCTCCATTCTTGGTAGGTGAGAGGAGGTGGGGCCCTGGGGAGATCCCGCAGGAAGCCACAACAGGACAGACTGGGCTGTGGGATATGTGGTGACATAGTGGGAACAGGATGGACATGAAGCCTTTTTGTGCACTGTCCATGAATGTGCTACAACTGTGCACCCCTAGGAGCCTGCTCTCTGGGGCTGTTTAGGGTGCTGTTGAGCCTCTGCCCAGGGCTGTAGATCCAGACTGGGGGCCTGGTGGGCGTGGCTGACAAAGAGGAAGAGAAAGTTGGTTCGAAATCCCGGAACTCAGTGGATGTGCAGGGGGTGACTGACTCATCGGGGGCCCCCATATCTGGAGAGGGGAGAGGCCAGAAAGATCTGGAAGGGCCTGGATTGCTGCTTAAGGAGTTGGCTCCACTCCTGGTGAGGTCAGCATCATGGAGGGGGCTGGCCACGTAGCAGGCAAACCAGGTGTGGACTTGAAGCTAGTTATGGGAACTGCATTGTAGGAGGTAGGGGTAAGGAGCTGAGAGGCAACCCACTGGCTCTCCGGGTTGGAGAGTGGCTGGAGAAAGTCATGGTCCCTGATCTACCTCCTGCTGCCCCTGAAAAATGCCCCCAACCCAGAGTTCTTCACAAGTCTCTGCCTTTGGGTTAATCATTCACCCAAAGCCGGAAGGTCTTGACTGTGGACTAGAGAAGAGAGGAGGGTCCTCCGAAAGATTTCTCCCAGGGACATCTGGCCCCATGTGGTCTCCTCTATAGCTTAGCCTGGATGGCACAGCACCATAAGACAGGCAACAGGACATTAAAAAAAAAAAAAGGCTTCTGGGCAGAGAAGTCAGGTGGAGGGATGGGAGGCTCCTTGGACGGGGTGAGTCTGACTTTGGGGGATGGGCTGGTGACTGGGGCACTAGGCATCCAGAAAGAGGAAGTATCCAAGATCCTGTAATTCCACTCAAACATAGAGTTATCCAATTGCAGGTCACTCAGAAATGTTCGGGTAACACATGTGGTGCTCCCCCGCCCCCCCACAAGGCCCATACTCCAGAGGAATCTAGGACCTGAGACAGAAAGCACCCCAGAAACCCAGGTTCAGGTGCTGCCAGAGTTGCCCTGCCTCTTTCAGTCTCCCTTGGACTGTTCCTTTGGGCCCATTCCAGGCCTAGGTCTAGTCCTCCGTTCCTAGACATCACTGTGGGCCCTAGAAGCAGGGAATTGGTGGCCTCTATTCCTTTCCTGAAGGAGCTCTGGTAGCGTAGTGGTTACAAATCGGGTTGCAAACAAGATTAGCAGTTCAAAACTCCGTGGGAGAAAGATGAGGCTTTCTGCTCCAGTAAAGATTTACAGCCTCGGAAACCCTGTACAGGGTCACTATGAGTGGGTTCCGACTCCACGGCACATAACCACCACCACCATTCCTTTCCTGAGTCTGGGTTTGGAACTGAGGCAGGCAAGGAAGCCCTGAATGGGAGGGGTGGAGGCAACAATTACTTCTCCGTCCTTGCCCCAGTTCCATCACCTGCTTTACATTATTTGCGTACCATTTACTTACTGAAAAAGCTGCTGGGCACGGCCAAGGCTTGCTGTCCAGGAGCTTAGTGGCCTGCTGGCACGACCTCTGCCCACCTACTGGGGCTTCCAGTCTGGAGTCTTTTGTGGCTCACCAGTCAGAGCCCCCACTCAGGCACAGAAGAGGTGACCTCCATTTCCTGACCCCTCCACCCGCAGAGGCAATGCAACCACAGCAGCAGCTTCGCGCCTCTGAGGTCACGTCCAGCGGCTTCCGCCTGGCCTGGCCTCCCCTGCTGACCGCCAGCTCTGGCTACTATGTGCTGGAACTGGTGACTCGTGCCCAGCCAGGAGTGGTGCGTCGTCAGCAGCTGCCAGGGAACACCACGGAGTGGGTCTGGGCCGGCCTCGAGCCCGACACGGACTATGATGTGGCGCTGGTGCCTGAGTCCAATGAACGCCTTGTGGGGCCTCAGCACCTGCGGGTGCGCACGCTGCCGGGTGAGGTGGGGCCCAGACCGCAGGCGGGAAGGGCAAGGGCTCTTGGTGGGGGTGGACAGGGGTCCTGTCGGAGGATGGCGGGGGAGGTGGCCTCCAGTAGCTCACACATTGCCCTCCCTACAGAGGAGGCCGGGCCGGAGCGGATCGTCATCTCTCACGCCAGGCCACGCAGCGTGCGCGTGACCTGGGCCCCAGCGCTGGGTCCAGCTGCTGCACTGGGCTATCACGTGCTTTATGGGCCCCTGCAGGGTGGCGTAGCGCAGCGTGTGGAGGTACCCGCGGGCCACAACAGCACCACACTTCAGGGCCTGTCACCTGGTACCCTCTACCTGGTGACCGTGACTGCGGCCTTCCGCTCTGGCCGCGAGCGAGCGCTGTCCGCTAAAGCCTGCACGCCCCCCGGGGAGCGCAGCCGTGTCCCGACCCTCCCCGACGCTGGGGCTCGGGGCCCTTGACCCTCCCTGCCGGGGACTCCACGTGACCCCCACCCCGGCCTCGGGACCAGAGAGCCCCGTCCTCACTTGCTCTCCAGGACGCGGGCCTCGCCTGACTTCCCCCGGCCAGACCCTCCGCGGTGGCCCTGGCCGCGGCGCACAACCGGCTGGGTCCTTAGGCTCCTGCAGACCCCTCCTGGCTGTGAGCCAGGCACACGGGGTGTCCTTTGGGCAGGATTTCCAAGATAGAGTATCTGGACAGGCTGAGAACACCCGGGCTGGCGCTGGGCCCAGAATGGAGAGCAGCGGCCAGATTCCCCCCTCCTGTGGAAGGGCCTGCCCCTCTGGTGGCCAGGGCTGGCATTGGTTCAAGGGAGTTTGGCCCAACAGGTTGATCTGAGTCTTCTTGGCCACATGGGTCCTGGATGCTGATAGGAGGAGGGCAGGGCAATGGGAAATGAAGTGGTTCAGGGCAGTCCTCAAAGACTTCCTGGAGAGGACAGGAAAAGGAGCTGCTGGGAGGCTGATGGTGAGGTCAGCCACTAGGAGGTGGGCCTGGGGGCGGTGATTGCTGGGAACAGGTGGTTCTGCCTTCATGCCAGGACACCAGCTGTGCCTAGCTAGCCGTTACTGGAGAGTAGTGGGCATATTTTGGCAGGAGGGGGACCCTTGGAAACAAAGCTCCACTCCAACCAAGGCTCCCTGGCCTGAGGAGTCACCTTAGTGACTCTCTGAAACATTTTCTGACCACAGGCTACCTCCTGGTCGCTAAATACTATGCTGAGATTTTTCAAGGGAGCTCCATTCAGGCCTGCCCTTGGCTTTGCCCAAAGTCCCACCCTCCAGCCCTGCGCCCCTAAACATTTGCGACTTTAGAATATAGTTAAGTCAGATGAAACCTGTGTCCTGCCATTGTTAGAACACTTTACTTTTTGTGGGAATACCAGCAGTGGGAGGCTAGTGCTGGGGAACTGAGGGGAGAGGCTGCCCCTTCCTCTGAGCGGCACCACTGGCCACCATGCCTCCTGCGAACCCCTGTGAGCACCCTCTCTTTAGTGTCTCCCAGCTTCTGTAGGTGAGAAGCCCACATGGAAAGAGCTGCTTTGGACCACAGCCTTGGCTGTTTCCTATAGAGGGTATCTAAAGGCTTCCCGGGCCCAGTTCCACACTGGCGCTCCCCTTACTGAAGGTGATACTTTATGCTAATGCTTGCTGATGGAAATAAAGCTCCTAACCAGACAGACTGCAGGTGTTTTGAGGCCTGGTCAATGCTTGGCGGTCGTGGACAGGCAGAGAAGCTTCCTTCTGTCTCTCTGCTCAGGCTGGTGTGTGTATATGCTAGAAGCATACCTGAGGCTTCACGCAGCCATGCTGGGTGTCACCCCATGCATTGCCGGCTATGTGCTAGGCTCCTGTCTCTTGAGTTCATAACCGGTGTTCACTTGTATGTGTGATGATGGCTGGAGATCAGAGGACCCCGCCCTGTCTGTGAGCAGAGCAAAGGAGGGGCTTGAGGCTGTCCAGCTGGCCCTTAGGGGCAGAAGGGGAAAACAGCACAGCCCTTGGCCAGACATGCAGGTTGGGGTTCTGTGGAAGGGTGTTGGGTCCCTTCCCTAGGTCCCTTGCCCATGTCAAGCCTGAAAGACTGTGTGGGGCTGGGGGCTTCACTCTGTCTCTGGCTGGGTCCCCACAAGCTGTATGCTTATTTCTGTCTGTCCAATGGTCAGCAGGCAGGAACTCACAATCACCCTAGCAGCTGGCTACAACCCTAGGCAGGGTGGAACAGGTAGACTTGAACACCATGAGGCCACTCAGAAGCCAGGTGGTATCTGACAGTGCAGAATGTCCCCAGACTGGCTTTTATCCCCCAACTCAAATTCCTGGGTGCTCAGTCTGAGCCTAGAGTCCACTTGACAGTCTAGCCCTGGCCACAGCAGGGGGCAGGAGCAATAGGGCAGCAGCAGGACATCCTAACATGGTGATGGCCTCTGCAGATAGCTGCTTATTCTGACTCATGCACAAAGACAAGTGGGGTGACGAATGTATCGCCCAAAGCACAACCGGAACCTTTCATGGAGACAGCAAGCAGGAAGAGGCCCATCGCCCTGGGTCACCTTCCTCCCCAGGTAGTGACTCTGGTGTCTCCCCATCTCTGCTGGACACCAGGCCCAACACTGTCTGCTCCATGGAGCAGGAGGGCCAAGCATCCCATTGCCATATCCAGGCCAAGGAGCACCTCTTGGAAGCCCCAGTCTCGAAAGTGGTTACCCTTACATCCTCCAAGGACTTTTTCAAGGCCTTTGACTCTGGGCTGCGTCTTGGAGCCATGCTGGGGTCCCAGTGAGTTGGCTGGCCCCACCCCAACAAGTCCTGGTCCTACCTCTCACAGCTCCTCTGTCTACTCTAGATCTCGCAGGTGGCTGACTTCCATTCACAGCTGCGTCCACACCATGAGGATGAGCTTTTCATTGTGCTCCCAAAGCCAGAAAGGTCTGTACCCCACTGGTTCTGGTTGAGAAAAGCAGGCATCTGGGATTCCAGGCGTAGGAGCTGGCCACGCGAGAGGCTCCAGAGATGAGTAGTTCTCCAGAGCCACAGCCCACATGGGAGAAGGGAAGCTGAGGATTCTGAGGTTGCAGACTGGGGGCCCAGAGCCATTGCTGGGCTGCAGTGGCTGGCAAGGAGAATGTCACCTGCACCAGGGCCCCTGTGGAAGTTGGCACACTACTCTGCTCTCTGAGTGCCTCGAAACATAAGCTGTCACAGGACTCTGAGGGGGTGGGGCAGCGCCTCAGCTAGAGTAGTACTGTTTCCATAGAGACAGTAATGGCTGTCCGATCATCCCCATTTTAAACGTCGTCGGGGAATGCTTGCATTTCAACGCATTTCAGCCTTTGCTCTCCTGCTGGGGCCTGAAGAGATCTGTAAGTAAAACCAAAGCTCAAGTGTATAAGCTCTGCCTCTTCTGCTTTCTTCCTGGGATGGAATCTTTCAATTTCCTTTTCTTCTTTTTAATATCCGTGGAAGTTACATCGCCCCCTGGCGGTAAGGTGAGGTGGGGGCATAAAGGGAACCGTGGGCTCTAGCCATCAGAGATTGACAGAGTGGCAGCCCTTCTGGAGAAGAGCAGTTGTGCTGTGCCATGCATTAGTATTATCTAACCTTTCTAGTCTTGGTCTTGTAACTCCCACCAAATGATAGGATTGTTGTTAGGAGCTATTGAGTCAGTTCCAACTCATAGCGACTTTATTATGCACAACAGAACAAAACAGCCCAGTTCTGCACCATCCTCACAATTGTTGCTACGCTTGAACCCATTTCTGTGATAATCTATTTTGTTGGGGGTCTTTTTCTGTTTCTCTGACCCTCCACTTTACCAAGCATGATGTCCTTCTCCAGGGACTGGTCCCTCCTGATAATATGTCCACAGTATGAGAGATGAAGTCTGGCCATGCTGGCTTCTAAGGAGCATTCTGTTGTACTTCTTCCAACACTGATTGTTTGGTCTACCAGTCCCTGGTACTTTTAATACCCTCCTCCAACACCATAACTCAAACAGATCAATTCCTGTATGGTCTTCCTTATTCACTGTCCAACTTTCATATGCATATAAAGCTACTAAAAATACCAGGGTTTGGGTCAGGCACATCTTAGTCCTCAAATCGACATCTTTGCTCATGAACATTTTAAAGAAGTCTTTAAATGATTGGATGTTGTTGTTGTTAAGTGCCGTTGAGTTGGTTCTGACCCATAGCAACCCTGTATAGTGTTTATGAGGAGCAGCTGGTGAGCTTGAACCACCAACCTTGCTGTTCCAACAGCCTTGCAGTCTGGTGCATTAACCCACAGCGCCACACCAGAATTCCGCAAATAAGGTGCCGTGACCCATGAAGGCATTGAACAGTTAAGAATGCAAATATGGTACCTGACACTTTTGTGGGGTTGTTGTTGTTGTTAGGTGCCAGTGAGTCAGTACCGACTCACAGCGACCCTATGCACCATAGAACAAAACACTGCCCGGTGCTGGGCCAACCTCACAATTGTTGCCA